ATATTCAAAAACTATTTCATTAGTAATAGAAATATTGACTTTGGCAAGGCTTTCATCAATTTTTTTTAGCTCACTTAATTTCATTTAATGTTTATGCCTCTTCAATACTTTTCAATCACTAATTTTCTTGGACTCGAATAATTTATTTTTTACTCTAAGTCCCTGATATTGTGAGATTAAGTATGATTTTTTTTTTTTCGTTTCATCATCCTGATTTTTTGTTCATCGACACTGTAAAAACAAATAAGTAATAATTTCCAATTTCGTTAAAGGTTGAAGCATACGGCATTTGCAATTTTATACCTCTCACACTAAACATGCAGTATCAAATATATGCGCATGTATACATATGAATGACAGATGACAAAAAGTGGAAACGTTGTCATGTGTACGCACTCCCTTTACATACAAACTACGGGGCTTTATACGGCAGTCTCTGTATTGGTCATTTTTATACGTGTAGTGTTTATGGTGACCGAAAGAAGACCACAGTACCGATCATCAAATTGGAAAGCGCGTTTTTCAGGTCAGGTATTTGCAAAATTAAGTCCGGTCTCTCACATTCGAGCAAGTCTTGCTTACCTTGTAAACTTGGGAAAATCCTCTTTCTAGATCGTGACACTGGACAAAGGGAAAGTCATCTCTTATCTTTCCTTTCGTCTCTCCTTACAACTTACATTTTACAAGTACTTTTTCTAACTCAATTTTAACGTTAATCTAGAATATTGTTGTCAATGTACAATAATATTAGACACTATCCTTTTGTTGAACTGAGCTAGTTACAGAAAGAGTCATTAAAATCGTTTACTTGGTCGAATAATCGGCTGGTCGATTAAAATATTATAATTAAATCTCACTGGTAGAAAAAATTTTATTGNTTCTACGTAAATTACATGAAATCTCATAGTTGCATTACATTATATAATAGGTATTTCTATAGGTAGTTATTATAATGTTTACGCTGATTTTTAAATATAGTGATTAATGTGAGCCAATTTCAAGTGCAAAGAGATTTTATTAAAATAATAATAATAATAATAATACATTCTACGTAAATTACATGAAATCTCATAGTTGCATTACATTATATAATAGGTATTTCTATAGGTAGTTATTATAATGTTTACGCTGATTTTTAAATATAGTGATTAATGTGAGCCAATTTCAAGTGCAAAGAGATTTTATTAAAATCAATATTTATGTTTTTATCATACCATTATAACACCATGATTGAATAAATTAATTGTTGAAAAAAAATAGAAAGAGGTCTCAATATCAATCGGTTTAGCGCAATGGTAATTTGGGTCCCCCTTTTCGAGTATGGGAAAAGGAAGACACCAACAACTCTTATCTCAGATTCGTCATACTTTTGAAATTACTCGTTGGTTTCTCATGCTCGATTGTTTATGGTGTTTGGTTTCTCGAGGAAAAATTGAGGGACGTAAATCATCTTGCACGCGCACAAAATTCTTTCAAATTCTTTCTAGTTGAGAGACGATAAAGAAATGTGAGATGCTTTCACTTTTTGAGGCGAACAGTTTATGCGAACAGATAGGTGTGGTGAAAAGCAGAGAGCGATGGAAAAAATTTAAGAATTAAAATTTTGCAGAGAGTGTTTGTTGACTTGACAGTTGAAAAATTTCTTGTTGTTTATAGCTCCGATAAAAAATGCATGATTGATATAAATGTTGCTACACAAATGTATTTCAAAAATGGCATAGAAATAAAAATTTTTAATAAAGTTTGGAGCCAATGTAGATTAATTGCATACATTGTTGTATTCCAATGACAGTCTTCTTTAAAACTCGCTATTGTGAACTAATTTTAATGTAAACACAAAAATTCTTGAATTTCATAAAGTTCTATCCATGTTATTTTTATGATAGTATGAATAAAAGATTCATGTAAAAATTTGATTTCGTCAGCTATAATCAGTGTATTCGTTTTTATTTTCTTAAAAAAAAATTTATTTTTGTGTTTCCAAACAAATACCATACAGTCAAATATAGCGAAAAATAGAGCAAAGGAGAAAACCAAGTCTGATGTCAGGAGTAATAAAGAATGCTGTGACCTTTTCAACCCTGCATGCAGTATAAAATATCTCAACTAACAAGACTCGCAATAACTCGTGTAACAACATAGCAAATAAGTGTTTTTCCAAAAACTGTAAGTGTTTAAATCTCGTCAACCGATTTTATCAGCTTAAGATACAAATAAAAAATAAATAAATACTGATGTATTCACAAGTTAGGACAGAGGTAAATCTTGAAACCTTGAAAGTAAAAGTAACTTTTTTTTTTTTTTTTTTTTTTTTTTAAGAAAAAGCACAGTTTTATTAATTATTTTTAATAATTTGCAGTTACAACATTTTATTATTTGAAACATTCCTATTACTACACTTTAACTTACTGACCCTTGAAATATTTGTTTTGTGAAGAGTTTCTAATTTTTAAAAACATAAATAACACATATCATGCACAACTTGTTAAATAGTTGTTATCATCACGTAGCTTTATTTTCTAATAAGAAATGAATATGAGCAACAGTTATTAGGACGTATTATCTCTATTACCTAATTAAGGTAATTTAAAAAATGACTAAAAAAAAGAATTCCCGTCAATACAGTTTACGAAAAAGTAAATTTTTAACTCAAAAAATATTTAAAAAATTTTCTTTACTTTTTTATTTAAGCGATTTCTTTTAGTTTATAAAAGTTGATGCTTCATAATTAAGATGTTTTCAATCTTGTAACACAAAAAACGTGTAGTTAATTGGAAAATAAATTTGAAACCACTGATTTGACTTACATTTAAAGCAGTGAAAATTGCAGTGATTAAATAAATTTTATTGATTTTCACTAATGGTTTAAATATAGAGCGTATTTTTATTTATAAATGACACATACAAAAATAGTTTAAGCGTCCAGTGGTTGATTAACGGTGCAAACATTGATTGTAAGAATTTTTTAGTACATATTGTTAAAACCCGTGATAGCATATTACACATACAGGAAGTAGGATTAAAAAATGCCTTAATTTTCACGTATATATTGTAGTTCTAGGCAAAAACGAGGATTCTATTACTTGCTTCCGGGATGTATGTAATTTTTAGTGCTGTTTTAGACGTGTGATAGAATTTATATTGCCGACTATTTAACGGCAGCAACTTACAAATTTAATACATCCCCATGTCTATTTCTATACTTTATTCCTAACATTTATGTTTCACTAAAAAAATGTCACAAATTTTAACTTAAACATGGCTAAAACAGTATTTTGTAAGTGAAAGTGGCAAATATCGTTCTTTTGTTTGTTTGATGATTATCATACTCGAGTCGAAAAAGGAGTCGATCACATGGGCAAAATGCTCATTTAACAGTTAAAATCGTGCGTTTACGATTCATGAACTACATAAGTTTGCAGTCGGGGTAAAAAAAAAAATGCATTGCCTAGATAACAAATCCATCAAACGTCCTATTTGTGTACATGTTTAACACATGCAAGCAGGTAAACACATTAAGGAAGCGAGCTCTGAATATTTTAAATGCAATCACGCGAAACTGACATTAGTAAGGGTATGTTTGTAAGGAGAAAAGTTCTAAAGGCCAACATACGCCGTATTTTATTGAAAATATAAAATCTCATTGATTGGAAAAGAAATCATTCGTTACATAACTTTTTTTTTTGATTGGAAAGTAAACAAAAAAATTTTTATACAGGAAAAATATCGGTAAGAAAATCGCTGTGATAGGGAAAATGGGGTCAGTATATTTCATAATGCTCAAATCAAGACTTCTCTCTGAGTTTAGTTATGAGACAAAAATAGTTTTACATCTGATGATTATTGCGTATAAAAATATTTTCTGTGCTAACGGCTAGACGTGATCTTATAAAGAAGTGCAGCCAACTCTGTAAATCTAATGTGCCATTAGCTAAAGGGTTTTCCTAAGTTTATAGCACGCAGCGTATAGCTTATAATTATTCCTGTTAGGTGGGAAATTTTAATACAAAAAAAAATTAAGATTAAAAAAATAATTACGCCTCAATTCGATCAGATTATTTTGAGTTGTATTTTCAAGTTTATACGGCTAGAGTGTTAGTATAATCTGATCGATAAGATGGGAGACTAATTACTTCCACACTGCCCTTCATAACAGGCTGTGAACTTATGCTTCTCTTTACTCAACGACCTGAGTATGCAATTATAATATTAATCAAAAATTTTCTTAATAATCGAAGATTAAAGAACTTTTTAATAAAAATGCAAATGAGTTACACATCGTCTTCCTACTTAATCAATAGTAATTGATAGTTGAAATGATGTCATTATTGAACAACTGTTGTTTGAAGTATTGAAACTTTATAATTAAAACTTTTTTTTCATCGAATAAATTGATATTTGGAATCAATTTTTTAAAATAACTGCCCATTACATAAAATTTAATTACATGATTAATTTGATTATTAGACATGTACGTGTTTTTCGCCAATATTTTTTACCAAGTGCTTTTTAATCTACAAAGCAATAAAGTTGGAAGTTGCAAAACGAACTCTTGCAAAGATTTTTTTTGTGTGCTTATTATCAAGAAAAAAAAGTAAGTAAGACTATTCTATCATCATGTAAAACTTACATAAAAAGTAACTACCGCACTGCACGAAAAAATATTATTCTAAACTTGATCAAATAATCAATCGACCTTTAGGTACTTAAGGAAGATATATCTAAAAGGAAACAATTCAAAAAATTAACTTTATTGAAACGCAGAATAGTAAAATGTACAAGACAAATTTATTGTTAATTTTATTACAAAAACATTGAGGAGTTAAAATATTGCAAGACTCTTCGTATGAATATTCTAATATCACAAATTAGCAGACTTTAAATTTTTGTCATTTTTAGAAATAGAATTTGGCCTTTTCAATAATAGAAATTGTGATCTCATTAGGATTAGAACTAGAAACCATAAATGGCCTATTTAAATAATCCATGTGTTTATGAGAATGAGCCAATATGTCATGGAAGGTCTCTATGCATATTTCATGTACAATCACGCCCAGCATGTGACATACTTAAGCGCAAGTTTAGTAAACTATTGTTTTCACCTACGGTTCGATTCTCTGCAAAACTAAAGAATGTAATGTTAATAAAAAACATTATAAAATATAAAGTCTGAAAATATTTGTTTTTATTCCCTCAATGTATTTTTTAAAAATATGATTTGTATGTGAAACTGAATCGATAAGCATCCTTAAACATTTTTACAAATATTACTTGAGTAAAATTTCACGTACCGAAATTTTTACAAAATTTCTTAGTTTAAATCAAAACGAATAATAAAATAATATCCTATGCCTCAAATAAATTACACTTTTGTGCGAGAAAAACGTAATCAGTGGATGAGTATAATTGAAAGACAAGCTGTAAGCTTCTGTTTATCAACAGGATTTCATGGCTACAAATACATAGCTCAAATGAATCGGACTATTACCGAAAGGTATGAAATATTAAATTGTGTTCAGAGTAGGAAGGTGCTCATTTTCTTTCAGTACAATAAAAAGCTGGAAAATACTATTTTCATCAATTTTTCATCAAATGCACAAATTTTTAAGTAGAAGTTTACCTAATTAATTGGATGATATTTGAAGTTATCGGAAATATTACTATCTCGGTCACTACTCTTCTAATTCTAGAGGTGTTTAAAAACGAAAGTTTTAAAATCAAGTACCTATTGTCTAAAATTCATTTTTTTTGTAGATTGTATTTTTCAGCGCATTTTAAAATAATTAGCAAATTTTAGAAATTGTTGTTAAAGGACGTCTAAGAATATTTGAGATACATACATACATTTTTAATTAAATGAGTAACCATAAACATACATCCACCCACACTGTTTGGATGAAAATTTTATTTTCTTTAACACTATTTTCAAAGAAGCAGAGTATCGTTTTCTATACATTTTTTGAACAGAAAATTTAAAATATTAAATGCTACTAAAAAAAATATTCAGTACTACTTTGACGAACGGACGTGCACTGAATTTAAAGCATTCTTACAGTAACTTTTTAAAGAAATGTTGCCTACCTTATTGATGTAAAACATTTTTAATATATTTTATTTCCTAACAAAATATTTTGAACGCGACACTTAATACCAAAATTACTTGTAACCGAGCTTATAATTTGCTAATTAAAAAAATGTTTAACCAATTTATAACTTCTTTGTAGACAAGCAAAAGTCGCATAAATAAGTATATTATTACAGTTGAATTTTTTTTAAATGTAATACTAATACATTACAATATTTGGTAAAATGTTAATAGACGTATTGATTTTTTTATTACAGATTAATATGGGCTGGCGTGGTGGTAGCCTCGCTGTGTTGCTCATTAATATTTATGCAAATAGCTTGGGAGTACAATTCATCACACTCGACTTTAACTGTCATCGAATCAACTCATCATGGAATCTGGAACTTTCCCTTTCCTGCTATCACTATTTGCAATAATAATCAAGTTTCCTTGAGGAAAACTCGACAATTCGTTGATAATTTGTAAATTTTTTAATGTATCTTTTTATGTGTAGTGAAAATTTCAAAGAGTGTGTTCATAAAAAAAGTAGTAATAATTACTAATGCTTTGTTTTGTCGTGAACTGACAAACGATGTCTTAAATAAAAATATTGTTTGTCAATATAATTATCATAAATCATACTTTTAGGATTTTAATGTCTTAGAAGAAAATCATATTTGGTTTAATTTTTATCAACAAAAAATACATTATAAATTTGATTTTTACCGGGTAAATAAACTTAAACTAATTAAAATTAAAATAAACTCGATTTTTCCGTTAAACAACGCACTAGCTTAATTCTTTTCCGACTACAAATACATTAAACTGTAGAAAAAAAAATGATTTTAATCTTTCTACACCCGAAGCACACTATTTAACTTCATTTTTTTTAAATAAGTATGAAATACGAAATTTACATTTTTCTTATTCATTCTCTCAAATTATCTTGTTTAACTGTATATTTTATGAAATATGTACTGTTGTACAAGGAATTTTTTTAAATCTTTGAAAAATTCTTAGAGCACACTATGTAACAAAGTATGCAGTTAAAAAATTAATTGTACCGTCATAAACTTAAAAACAGCACTAATACCTAATGTAAGTGACTACATCCGATAAAATATTTAAAAAAAACAATGTTTTTTCAATCTCGTTTGAAATGTATTTACTATTTATAAAGACTAAATGTTAAGTGGGCTTTTATGTCAGAAGGGAACAATAACTCCTTCCAAAAAGTGTATACTTAAATTTTATTATTTTACTTCACTGCAGAGAAAACCATTTGTTTTAGATCAGCGTTGAGTAGGTAGAGAAGACGAAAAAAATAATGGATACCAAACGATTTTTCAGAACTACATTTGGAGGTTTAACACGAGATTACATATTAGAAGAAATGCGACTATTAATCGAAATACTTGATCCAGGAGCTTATAACTACAACGTAGATTGGAATCTAACAATTCTTCAAGATGTTTTTGATGCTAACAACTATACTATTTCTGATGTTATGAAACTGGTACACGTACATCAACTTTGTAAACTTTCAGAACTAAAAAGTCTTAAAGATGCTTAAGTTAAAGAAAAAAAAATATTACAGGTTAATCAAGATTGCACCAGCCTTCTTAGGAATTGCAAATGGAAGGGAAATTCAACTCCCTGCCACGAGCTTTTTGAACAAACTTATGCTCGCGATGGCATTTGCTGCAGCTTTAATTATTTCAATTCAGAAAATAGGTCTCGGAGAAACATGTTTGTTGAATAAAAAAAAAAAAATTCTAATCTTAATTATTCTTATACAATTAGATATTTAGAGTCAACTTGTTTTAATAATATTTTTTAAACAAATATTTGTTAGCGAACCAAAAAAATTGACGGCCTGTGGCTATCAAACTGGGTTGTCATTCTTGGCTGATCCAGAACCGAATGACTATCATTCAAGTTTATATGGTTTTTATGGAATCAAAGTAAAAAAATTTGTTTGTACAGATAAAAACAGATAAAAAAAAAAGTTCAAAACATATATTTTAGGTGATGCTACATTATCCATATAGTTATCCAGATCGCAGCACTGAATTTCAGCTGGTTAGTCTTGGAGTTCAAAACTTTCTTGGTATTTCACCAGAAGAAACTTACTCCACGCGAGGCGTACTAGAACTACAGGTTCGAGATCGAGATTGTATATTTAGCGAAAAAGAATTGTCAAAAGAGCTGAAACTACTGAAAAAAAACTATACATGGATCAAGTACACGTATACAAATTGTTTAAACGAATGCAGAGCTAATACGACCATAACAGAGTGTGGATGCGTGCCTTACTACATTCCCCAAAATGGTTAAGAGCAAAGAATTTTCACCATAGTAAATGAATTATGATTTTCAAATGTTTTTATTTATTTTACATACAGGTAACCGTGTCTGTAATTTGAGGGATGTGCAATGTTTAAAAAGAATTCGAGGTACGTAAATTTAAATAAATTTGTCTCTGTTTTCATGATTTTAGTATAAAAACAAGTATAAAAATTATCGTTATCTTAACTAAGAATTACGGTTAAGTAACATAGTACTGATAATTAAATAATAAATATCATTAGTCTCTGGCATAATTTATTAATAAATACCAAATTAGTTTTGACTAGCTAGGATTTTAACGAAAATTTGTATAAATTTTTTTTTGTACACAACAAACGATTTTTTTTAATGTAAAATGTAATGCTATAAATTTTATTTTTCTGATTACTTCAGTTTTCTACGATACACCGTGGCCTGGATTGAAAATGAATAGTTCCAATTTCACAGATTTTGAAATTGACATAAGCAATAGGCCTTGTGCTTGTTTACCAGATTGCAGACTTTATCGTTATCCAGTTGATAGTACTCAAGGTATTTTAAGGAAAAGCATTTTAGAGAATCATAAAACATTCTCGTAAGTATTAAATATTAACTTGTCTAAATACATGATTAATGCTATATTAGAATGCATCCTCAACATAATTCATTTTATTTATTCAGATAGAGATTTTGAGCTATAATTTTATATCACATTTAATATTTTTGGAGGGGGGATCGAAAATTTATTCAAAAGTTAGTATTACTGTTTGATTGGAACATAATTAAAAATTTACCATAAAATAACTCTAAAATTAATTTTTTAAATATAATGTCAATAGTATTATGATAAAATTATGAGAACAGTACACAAGAATTAAAGAAACGAGCAGAGTAATAGTGAATTTATATAAATTTATGATTGGTTAATAAAATTTCATGAAACAAACACGATTCCGTGAACGTTTACTCATAGATACAGAATGTCCTTAAAAAAATATTAAAAAAAAAAATTTATAACGTAAATTTAACTAACGTCTATTTAAACAATAAGTTATGATCTACATTGGTAGACGATTGTTTTTCTGAAATTCACATTTGATAAAATTCTAACAATAAAAATGATATCTTATTACTTTTGCACTATCTGGGATGGAAATTTTGCAACCAACGATACATACTGAAAGTTTAAGGACAATATTTCATGAGAATTTTAATTAAAACCTAAAAAAATTAAAATAAAGGTAGTGGACAGTGAGTACTTGGATATCTAAGTATGAAGTTATACTTCCATAACATTCTATGGCAGACAATATATGAATATAAATATATCTTCTATGAAACGGTGTCATGCACGAAGGTTGTGCAATAATCATTGGAATGAGTAAATTTTAATTGGGTGTAGTTTCAATACACATTTTTATATTAAATAAATAAACAATTTAAAAAATATACTATACGTAGCCATCGTACGGTGTGCTGCCACACTGGCCAGTAAGAAAGGACCCGCTTTCATCGAATCTTTCGATTATTTCAAAACAAACGTCTACTTCTACTTTGATAAGTTTATGACATCTCTAACACAGCGCTTGCATCTGTCACATACGCTGACAAACTCATTGTTACAATTAGTTGAGTACACACCACCACCCACAATAAATAATTATTTAAAAGAAGGCTTAGAAAGTATTAGTAAACCGGTTTCATTGATGAATTTTTATTCAATTTTACATTTTATAAAACAGATGATTAACATTTTGTCAGTAAAATATGGTACAAACATAATCATAATGTATACATAATTATTGATTGAAATTAAAAAATGTAAAAAGATAAGTAAAAAAGTATAAAAGATGTATGAGAACGGTTTCCGTTAACTTTGCGCAGCTTTCAACCTTGTTAATAGATTCATGTCGATCATATTCACAAAATGACACTATTGGCTTGTGATAACTAAAATAAGAAATATTAACCTTTGATTCTAATTTAGAATAATTGCTATCCTGTAGTACCACTTTATTTTTAATAGGATAGTATTACATGATAGTAAAAAATTTTGAAAGAAAAAGACACAATAATAGGGTATCAAATTATCCATGAAATCTCGTATGAATAAACCGTTAATGTAAAAAGATTAAAACTTTAAAAAATTGTTGAAAAAAATTGAGTAAATAATTATTTATTTGAAAAATTCCCAATTATAATGAAAATTAAATAAACATTCACTTATATACAGGATAGCTGTTACTAAAAAAAACGGTTTGTAAGGTTAAAAAAAATTATTTAATTTAATGATTAATTAAGTAACAAATATCATTTACAATTAAACCTATTTAATTAACGAACAGTAAATAACTATTTTTATGAAAAGTAAGGTACGAACGACAGTATAGGAAAAAGCGATTTTCAATTATAGGGATTGCTCGTGACAGAATAGGTAACATACTCGACTCGCGTTCTGAAGATTGCTGGTTTGATCCTTGAAGAAAGTTTATTTTTCAGAAGGATTTGGTAAAGAATAAAGAAATAAAATGAAATAAAAACTAAAATTTGCTTGCTCAAGATATACGTTTTGGTGGCGCTACGCGAGGTGGTTGAAAATAGTGATCTTATAAGTAGGAGGGGGAGGCAAAGCGAAGCCTCTCAAAAAAAAAATTTTTTCAAAAACGTAATAGTTTTATACTATTTTAAAAGTTGTTTCACGAAAAAGAAAGAGCTAATGTAAATTTAGGATAAAATCAATTAATAACAAAAACTATGATAAAAATGTCAAGCCAAAGTTTAAAAAGTTTAATCGATTTAGTGTTAAATTCTCGTTTTCTTTGTAAAACGTTAATTTTTTTCATATTTATTCTCTAGAATATATTAAGAACAAATTTTTTAATATAGTAGTCATCAGTAACATAGTTTTATATTTCTTATACATAAGAATAACATCGATTTAGTTATTTAAATAAGTTTTTTATTCCAGTGACATGGATGTCTCAAAAAATACAAGCCTTGTTAATATATTTTTCACCGATCTAGTATCAATACAATATCGCCGTGACATATATTATAATTGGAGGAATTTGTGTGGTAAGAGGATTTATACTGTTAATGTGGGTACACAAGTCGTTATATGAATTGATATACTTTGCACAAGTGTATGGAGACGTAAAAATTATGCAAAAATATATAAACTAAGGCAAATGATAGTAACGCAGCATATCACAGCATCATTAACAGCAACATCCCTCACCCGTGTAACAATATTTTTTACCAATAAGATTATATAAGATTATATTACCGTATCACACTCTTGACATATTATGTAATAGTAGCTTCATAAATGAAAAAAATTATCTACGTACATAGCAACATCAGTTAATTTTAGAAGTATTTAAAATTTTTTAAGATATTGAAACAATATTGCGTGTGGTATGTACTTGCAACAATATGCAGTAAATGTATTATCACTGATAATTTGGGACTTGAACACAAGTTTGTTCTAACAGTATGAAATTACACGCCTTATAAAATAATTAGTTGTTGTATTAGTTGATAATGAAGCTTGGGGCATAAATTCCATGTTAAGGCTTAGAAGTTATCTTTTCTTATTTGATTATATAAGAAGCTTTTTAATGGATGAAAAATCACATACTAACATAACATGATACAAATGTGTTTCCTGAAGTTTAAATTCAAAGTAGAATACACCGGCAAATGTGTCTTGTTACTTGTTAATACGGTGCCCAGAGGGTGGAAGGTTTTTTATTTTTTTAGAATCGATTTGACAGTTAATAGTAGTTTTTTTTTAATTTTAATACTCAACAGTATTACCTTTGTTGATGGTATTATTTTCACGTAAATAAACGTCTTTTATTTATCATATGATTAGTTAAGACTTATCCCACAGTTTCAGAGCAGATAAGTTAAAAAAATTATTTTAAGCAGTTAAAAAAAAGAAATAAAACTCGTAGATTTGATGAGGGTAAAAAATTATGAAAACAGTACATTTCTTTTTTTGTACAAAAAATTGATATTGAAATTCATTTATCCTCCATGGTATTAGCTTTGTGCATTTACTTATTGTTGCGCGTAGAAACATCAATGTCAATACTTACATAGGACTAATCTTATGAAGAAGTTGAGTAATTAAAAAGATAGAAGAGGGTTGGTTATAAATCTCATGCTTTTGAAATAAAAAATGATTCAAAATTTTTTTTATTTTTTTTTTTTAACCATCAAATATCTTTCTACTTTTATGAAGTTTTAAATTCTTCCTTCACAAAAAAATATTTTTACACCTTAATTGAAAGATTTGAAAACTTTTTTTAAAAACGTGATCCGCTGTGACAGGCCTTTATTCATAAAGTTTTAATCTACAACTATAATTATTTTATTGCAGCATCATTTGGAGGACTATTAGGCCTTTTTGTCGGTTTCAGCCTCATGACTGGAATCGAACTTGTCTATTTTTTTGTTGTTCGTGTTATTGCTGATAAATGTAAGAACGGCAGAAAAATTGAAACCGATTCCGACAATTACCCATAAACTATTCTTACAAAATTATCTCGAAAAAATGTAAGTAAGAATTTTAAATAAACTTTCTTTCAAACAAATGCTTCTTTTTACTAGACTGGACAAATCAAACGCTCCGTGTACTCCTTTTTTTAAATATAGTATATTATAGTTTTTGAAAATCATGTACATCCGAACAAATTTTACAATTCATTTGTAATCATTTTCGATTGTTTCGACATTGTTAATATAATACAAAAACATAAATCATATTGTAACGTCGGTAGACTACAATAACTAATAATTTTTTTTTTGCTCGCTCATGCTAACTGGAAATGGATAATAGTACTATTCCATACAAAAACAAATAAAAACATCCTCAGGGAAAAGCCACTAAAGGCAAAAATCTAACTAGGAGCAGCTGCACTGAGATATAGTGCTGGAATAATTTAGAATCAGTGTACGTAGATTAAAATCAAAAGAAAGTAATATTAAATGCCAGAGTTATTACATATTGCATAAAACAACTCATACATGCTATATCTGTAGCGAGTAGCAATCATAGAATCGTTAACTATGGAACGACTTTGTTAACTTCCAAGGAGTTAACCGTTTTCTTCCGTTCATGTTCGCAGATGCATGATTTACCGAGTGACCCTTTTATTACACTGATTATTTTATAAACCAACTGCAATAGCCTAATTTGTAAACTGGTTAAGTTTTCGTCACTTTTGTCAAATGGAAAGGAAAACAAGAAAATCTCCCCTGACTCAGATAAGGCGTAAGAAAATCCATACACCTATCTTGACTGTGGGCAATGGGATTTGCTACTTCCGGAGGGATGGGATTAGCATGCGTCATAATTTCCCCTCCAACGACCAGTGGCAAAAACATGTTTATCAAAATCCTACCAAAACTCCGATTTATTTTTCCTTTTCAACATTATAATCAGCAAAAATACCCATAAACATAGTTATGTTAACTCATAACAAACGCAGCGCTATTACCTTCATCAATTCCTTTTATTTTTGTTATTATTACTACTACTAATATTATAATTACAAGTTATTATGCCAACGACCACTGTTATTACTGCCTATGTATTAGTGCTAATTGATAAATCATCACACACCGATCGTTCATTCACCCGAGCATCTCTTAAAATCTTAACCGATTTATACCGTTCTTTTTGCAATGAGCTCGACTGAATGAACGAATGACATTAAGCATTAGTAAACATTAATAATATTCTATCTTAAGGTGAATATTAAGTCATTGTAAAATTGTGTAATATCTTGATGTAAAGGAGAAAGAAAGACCTTGAATCAGTGGATCATCTTCCCTTCTCTTGATGCGTACAGGAGAAAAGCGGGTGTGGGAAGTGTCAACACAGTTCTAGCCGATTGGATTTTTGTCCGTTATCACTTCCCCAAGATTTCCTGCGTCAATTCAGAGCCAGCAAGTGGTCGAGGTCCGCTACTCTTTACAATAAAGGGCCTATAGAGGCCCCGAAGGGCAGTCAATTTTTTCGTTGTCACACTCGAACGATCGACTGGATGTCGACTCGATCACCAATGCGGTTTCTACTTCAATTCGCGCTGGTTCGCCGTGTCTTAAGTTTTTTCTTCAAATAAAAGTAGACGTGGTCAAAATTTTACCCCACCTTCGCGCCCAGCGTGTGTCCCGAGTCATTAAGCGAAAGCTTAGACTCAAATGAATCGTCGCGCCAACGCAACATGTGCTTATAAGTGTTTTTTCCATAGTAATATTTTGTAACTGTAAAAATAAAAATGATGAAAAATAATCTTAAGTAAATAAACCTAAAATTATGTATTAGTATAAGTCAGGATTTGTATGCAGATTTAATTGTAAAGTTAAAAAGAAATAAAATATTTTTTTTTTTAAATACAATCGACGAAATTTATTTCGAAAAAATTTGTTTGATAACTAGTTTTTATACAGCTGACAAAGATGTTATTATTAAAATCTTTTTAAAAATTCAAGTCTAGTAGAAGTATATTTTGATATATTGTTATTCGAAGATTTATATCAAATAAAAAGATGAAACATATTTTAGCATTACTTAGACACTTTTAAAAGTAAGTTTAAAATAAAACAATCGTTAGGAAAATGTTTGAAACTATGTTTCTTACCGGATCTATTTTATTTTTATCATATTTGCATTAGGGCCTCACAAGAGTCAAGAGTAATCTTGTTGTTGTCTTGAATTCAAAGACAATATTCAATACAAAATGCGAGTCAAATTTTCAAGACAACATCAATATAACTCTCTCAAGAATATTGTCTTGACAAAAATTATTGACTTTCCATGCGTAAATTTGGATGAACAAAAAAACAAAAAAAAACAATATTTCAAATTTGATCTTTATTGTTACTTAATAATTTGACAATCATTAATTAAAAAATATTAATGAATTCTTTTTATATGTATAAGGTAAAAGTACCAATGCTGGAACGATTTTTTTGTGTAATTTTGTTTTAAAATTCATATAAAATTACATTCTTTCTACTTTTATGAAGTTTTAAATTCTTCCTTCACAAAAAAATATTTTTACACCTTAATTGAAAGATTTGAAAACTTTTTTTAAAAACGTGATCCGCTGTGACAGGCCTTTATTCATAAAGTTTTAATCTACAACTATAATTATTTTATTGCAGCATCATTTGGAGGACTATTAGGCCTTTTTGTCGGTTTCAGCCTCATGACTGGAATCGAACTTGTCTATTTTTTTGTTGTTCGTGTTATTGCTGATAAATGTAAGAACGGCAGAAAAATTGAAACCGATTCCGACAATTACCCATAAACTATTCTTACAAAATTATCTCGAAAAAATGTAAGTAAGAATTTTAAATAAACTTTCTTTCAAACAAATGCTTCTTTTTNCAAGAGCAAAGTATTTCATCTTCTCAACATAAATTGAATCGCAATAGGCAAAGTATTATTAGAAAAGGAAGTATCAGTATAAAGAAAGATTGATAGTGTCTGTATTACATGAAACATTACATAAAAATAGTGAAATTTTCACGCTATAATTAAGATTATGTAAATTCAATGTTCAGAATTTTATTATTATTTTTCCAATTTATGGAAGGTCATAACTACTTCAAAACTTTTGGAACCGTCTCTACAGTCATTTTAAGATTACGATAATTGTACTTGTGCGATTGCTGAGTCCTAAATCAAAATTTTTCAATGAAATTTTGTTTACCACATCTGCTTCTCAGACCTCTTTGTACACTATATTCACGTCATCAATGATTTAAAATCTCTTCGAGATGAGGGGAGTTACAATAATAACCGCTGATTTGACCGAAAAAAGCATTCTGTCTCTGCAACGACACTACAAATAGATAGATACCTTCAGATTTGGATCTGAAAAAAAATTGACAGTACTCTCGTTCACTCAAAAATATAAAATGATGAATTGTTAGTATCTGAAAATTAGTCACTTTGCCAAATTAAATAAATTGTGGCACATAATTCAAAAGTGTCAAAAGTAGGCTTAACTGATAAAACGTCCCGTATTTAAAAAAAAAAAAAACATTTTTTTTATTCTTAACTATCAGAAAAAGTGCTCAATATCTCAAAGTTTTAGATGGTTCAAAGTCAAAGAAAGAATAAAAAATCAACATCTAGGCACCAGAAGCTCCAAAAATCAAAATTTTTCAATTCTTCGTGTTACGGTACTGACATGTATCCTGTTTTTTCAATCTTGCGACCACGCAAAAAAAATTTTTGACTTGATCTTGAAAACGTAATTAGGGAAAATTGATTAATACCGTTTACAAGAAGTTCTGACTCAAAATAATTCAATCCATCGTTTTAAACAAAGGCTTAATATCGTAGTTTTTGTGAAATGACCTATATGCGAGAGTCTTTTATTTATTTTATATGTAAGTACATAGGTGTTATAGAACGTAAAAAAGCAAGCATTTTATTTAAAATGTAAGAAGCAAATTTAAATACAGCAGTTTTATAAGCAAAAGTAATCTTAGTAAACGAATGCTTATAATTGTGTAATATCTTGATGTAAAGGAGAAAGAAAGACCTTGAATCAGTGGATCATCTTCCCTTCTCTTGATGCGTACAGGAGAAAAGCGGGTGTGGGAAGTGTCAACACAGTTCTAGCCGATTGGATTTTTGTCCGTTATCACTTCCCCAAGATTTCCTGCGTCAATTCAGAGCCAGCAAGTGGTCGAGGTCCGCTACTCTTTACAATAAAGGGCCTATAGAGGCCCCGAAGGGCAGTCAATTTTTTCGTTGTCACACTCGAACGATCGACTGGATGTCGACTCGATCACCAATGCGGTTTCTACTTCAATTCGCGCTGGTTCGCCGTGTCTTAAGTTTTTTCTTCAAATAAAAGTAGACGTGGTCAAAATTTTACCCCACCTTCGCGCCCAGCGTGTGTCCCGAGTCATTAAGCGAAAGCTTAGACTCAAATGAATCGTCGCGCCAACGCAACATGTGCTTATAAGTGTTTTTTCCATAGTAATATTTTGTAACTGTAAAAATAAAAATGATGAAAAATAATCTTAAGTAAATAAACCTAAAATTATGTATTAGTATAAGTCAGGATTTGTATGCAGATTTAATTGTAAAGTTAAAAAGAAATAAAATATTTTTTTTTTTAAATACAATCGACGAAATTTATTTCGAAAAAATTTGTTTGATAACTAGTTTTTATACAGCTGACAAAGATGTTATTATTAAAATCTTTTTAAAAATTCAAGTCTAGTAGAAGTATATTTTGATATATTGTTATTCGAAGATTTATATCAAATAACGAGGAGCTCAATTAACTTTTCATTTTCAAAGGATTTTGTGGAACTTTTTGAAATTGAGCGTAAACTTACTGCAAGCCGGCATTCTGCTTCAAATGATTTGGTTGAACGTTTATATGGCCAATTAAGAGCTGTAATTAT